GTTCGACCTTTCCTTGGCTTCTATGTACATCAATATGTCCAGGTACCCAAGAGATCTTTTCTTTAATTTCTCGTACAGCTTCTTAATTACCACTTGCGTATTGTCACGACATTCGGACTTGATGTTAACCCCAGCAGACTATCGCTGCTTCTGTGCCTGTTATAAATTTGACCTATCGGTACAGACATACGTGTAATTTTATTCCCCTTGTCCGTGTTTTGAAAGGAATGACGGATTGCACCAGGCATAGTACTTGCTTTTCATAGTAACAACTTATGTTGAGCCCGTATTCTGTTATGAATTTTTATAGTTAGGGAACTGAAGCCAATTGTATCAGGCTTACTCTCTGAGCTGTTTCATACATCACTACAAACCATATTGCCTAATGTCCAGGATCAATTCCAAGACCTTTATTGAGGTAAATCTTATTGTGCCTATTATGTGAGGTACGCTGTGAAGTTCCAGTACTCCCTATATAATATTAATAAAGGTTCTAACGCATGGACTAAATTTCTCTTCACTGGATTTATTCGTCGAGCTAAATTTCTTAATGTTTAGTATTTTTTCGAGGTCTGTGAGCAGCCAGTTGTCGCTAGGAGAGCCAAATCTGGAGCATACGTTGGATGTAAGAGCTATTCGAAGTTCTTTGTCATATGCGATAGATTCACTTGTCACTTTCGACGCAAAAATTACAGAATCATCAAAACTTTATTGGTTTTGATAGTAAATCAATTACTGAGATGGAAATTCGTAAGTAGACGATCTGACGCATATAATGAATGGCAAAGAGCGCACAAAGGAAGATAGAAAAGTGGACGCTGGATTAGGCATTAACCCAAAGAAAACAGAACTTGTTCTCTTCACAAGGAAATATAAAATCCCAATGCTTTCAATACCAGTTCTCTCATGAAAATATATCCGCTACTCATTCTGGGCAAGAAACTAAGCTGGTCACAGAATTCAGAGGGTTCTTCGACCTTTATAATGAGGCATGTCACCTTAAATAGTGCATTGGCTTTAAATTGCTGTTGTTATGCGTATTTTTCATGGAATTGTAGTCAGGTGACCAACGCTTAAGAAAAAATCAGCTGCCTCTAAATTCCAAAGCATTCTGAGGACGACACTGCTGTGCATTAGTGGAACATTATTTGCTACGCGAACTGAACTTATGAATGTCCTCTTGGATCTACTCCCCATTGAGATAAAGGGACTGCATAATACTTGCTTGTCTATATACCGATTACTGCATATCCTTCTCTAACTACACGACAGATCTTACCAATTGGGTAGGATAATACCAGCAAGTGATGGCTAATAGAGTCGTTGGCGTTTCCTTTCGTTTACCGTATTACTGTAGTGCTTTTCAGGTGGAAGTGGCGGCTACACATAAGGCTGTTTTCCAGCTATGAGTTTTCGATTACTCTGGTCTCATTAAGAGCATTGGAATGTGTAAAAATAAATTCGAAAACCGTAAATAATTGTAATAGATCACTCCACGCGGCGGCTAAGCAGTTCGCTTTAAACCTAGATGGACGCTTGGGCAGAGTAATGAGATGGTCGACTAGCAGTCCTCCACATTCACCATCATGGAGGAATTTGGACATGACGCTGCCCACATGCAAGCTCATTATGTGAGAGGTATTCGTGAAATATGATATCTCAAGATGAAGAAGTCTCAATACGTTCGATGTGGCAAGGACAATGTTGGCAGAATGAGATAAGAGAAGGTCATGCACCCACCCTTATCTCCTTAAAGGGCATATTTTATTGGGCAGGCACGAAGAGAAATTGGTCGTAACGTTTTCGTCAGAATTTGTAAATTAAAAGAGGAGCCTGAAACTTTTATGTATGATATGTACTTTGTTTGTGAATGTCCTGCACTTTGAAGGAGTAGACTTCAACCTTTAGAGACTTCATCGAGATAGCAAACCCCACATATATGGGCTATTTAACGGTTGGGTGTTATTAGGATTCGCAATGGTATCAAAATGCGATCATTTAGAGGCCTAAGTGAGCTGACTTCTACATAATCTACATACCTATTGGTTTTGACCAACGGAGCTTTGAACAGCTTATGTGAAGAATATTATTAAATTTTAAGAGCTTCAATTTGAGGGTTAGTATTAAGTGAAAAAGCAGCGAATACAATAAACCAGTGCCATTTACATATGTATGTGTTAGGTCCTGGACTTTTCAGCTCATGTGTTAGAACTTTTATCTTATAATAAGGGCGGTTTTAGCCACAATTCCGGGCAATGGTACGGTTTTGGGCGCTGTTCATAGGGACACCCAGGGAGCTGCGGGGCAGATGAGCTGACCGGATAGGGATAATCTTAACCACGGTTAACTTTGCGATCGCTTATCGGTTTCACGGGAACTTCTTCTTCGACTGCTTAGCATAGCATCTTTAATCTTCTGAACTTCGTAAAATACACCAACTGGTTTGAGCACCTAGAAAGGTGAGAGAAATCTTTTTCGTGGAACCAACATAAATACCATCAAGAGATCAGGGTTGCGTTATCGAACAAGCTATTTAACTGACTAACTGACTTATAACAATATATTTGGCGGTTAGATTAAATTTAAAAGTGTTTGGAAGTTTAATCGACTTCAAGCTTTATTATAAGAATTTAAAAATGAATCTAAAAAATCAGCAATTATTAAAGGAATATCTTGTTTGCTTACAAAATTTGCATAAAACATCTCTAAAACTGTGAGCAAATTTGGATTCAAGCGATAATAAAGCAAGCAAGCAGGCAGCTCCTCATCTTTTTGAATTCGATCAAATTTTGGTGGGCCAATCTCTTCGCTTTCTGATACTTTCATGCAATTTACTAAAGTTGTAATATAATAATCATGTAAGGCATACACTCGATGAAGCCCACGATCAGGGATTGGAAAAGATGTGATATTTGAATATCTGAACATTTAAAAAAATATGAAAATTTTCCTCATATTTCTTATTCAAAAATTATAAATTTTTTTTAAGAGAAGAGGGCAGCTAGAAAAAGTTGAAATGTCAGATAATTAATGTCAGACATCTATGAAGCCGATTGTGAAGAGAGAATGAAACTAACTTTAAATTATTGTGTCATGGTTGAAACGCTTCTTTTTTCAGCGTTTGATATGTCCAGCAACATTTTTTCTTCCTTTCCAATATTGAATACTATTTTTCTTTCGTCGAATGTAATTTCTTATGACTTTCTTTCCATATCTTTCGCAATTTAACACATTTTTCGCAAACAAATATGACCGAATGCTTTTAAGGGGCACACCTAGTGTGAAATTTCAAAAAAAAAAATCGATCTTTTTTTTATATTTCGGTAGATTACACCTTTAAAAATAACATATTAAAATTTCAAATCGATATCTCAAATAGTTTTTGAGTTATAGCAATTTAAAGAGCAGCCGCTCGGCAGGTAGACAGTCTCATTAGCTACGAGTGAAAACGATCATTTTATCTTTAAACGCATTTTTTCCGAAACAGCATTTTCCGAATTTGCTGATTACTTAAAAACAAATGATCCGATCACTAGCGAATTTTTTTTCTCCGTACAATGACCTATCGATTTTAGATCTGATCAAAAAATCGAGTTTTGGCAGGCCAAAAACGACCAACATTTTGGGTAAAATTCGACTAATTTTGTTTAAAACGCCACCATATTGTCAATTTTTGTTTTTTTTGTTATCGTAGGTCATTGTACAGACAATGTTATCTTGTAGAGAATTTTGTTTTAGATTTCATCCACGGAGAAGGCCGGAATCACTGCAGCAGTGAAGTACCTTTTTTCGCACCGTTGGAGATCGACAATAACTTAAAAAATATTTAATTTTTTTCTTCAAAAATTTCACTGTATATTCTTGAAGCATGTATAAATATATTCTTAAAATTTTTAAATAATTGATAAAGTATTTTTTTTTTAATAAAAATTCCCAAAAATAACCGTTACACTAGGTGTTCCCCATAAATATTCATGCAGACGGAACATAAATTTCATCTGAAAACTTAGAACCTGCTTGAAGCAAAATTTCCGAAAACTTTTGCGTTGTTGCTTTGATAAAAATGAAATCACCTAAAGTGATTTAAATCCATTTCAAACTCAAAACAATTTTAATTCAAAGTCATAGTTCAGCCATCAACTGTATTAGTAACAAAGTTCCCCCAATAATATTCTTTTTATTAACAATATATAATTTCCGAATACCTTTATGAGACACTGTAAATAAAACCACATTTTTTCATTTTTAAAAATTTATTGAAAAAATGTTCGTTTGTTCATAATTAAAAAACATTTTTAATCAATAACTACATTTTATATACATTAATATATAACATACATACATACAATATTGTGTGTAGTCAGTGTTAATTCGGCTTGATACTCATTTATTCTTCCTATCTATCGAAATTTTAACAATTTTATTATTGTTTTGTATAATAAAAACTAGTTTGTATATTTATTGTCTGTATAAAAATTTATATCAATTTGGCAATGATCAGCGCTTAGTCGTTGTTTGTGTTGTAGAAAAAACAAGTACCTATAAAATCTTATAATAAATGTATACATATATACTATATATCAGACATGATTTCGTATTTTCGCGCAATTGTTAATATAAATTTTGAAATATCTATAACAATATATTTTTTTTTTAATAAATTGTGCATAAATTTCAATAAAATGTTTATATTAAACAAATTTCAACAAATCTCTCCTTCAGCATGCTTTTTCATTTTGTTAGTAAAATATCGTTGGGTGTAGTCGGTATTCGTAAGAAAGTTTCTTATGTAATAAGGCATCCTTTGTCATATGCAATTCTGCTGTGCGCGTACTACAAATCGGTATTGACATATTTATTTAAATTCTAATGCTAACTATGAAAATTAAAAGAAACTAAATTCTGTATAAACACTTGTCATGTTCATAAGATTACATTTTTTAATTATGTTTCAAAGAAATATTAAAATAAATCAAACTAATTAACTAAGTTGTTAGCTAAAAATTAAAAATAAAAAATTTAAAAAAATTTAAATTGTGAAATCATTTAAAATGTGATGCTTGTCTGTATATATTTTTATACGAAGTTTCATGCCCATCCACATTTAGTGTTCTGCATTCGGCACTGTGGACTCTTTTTGTCGAAACTTCGTTGAGTATTTGTAGAAATCAGACATTTCAAATGGCTTGGTCTCCTCCTGATACGGCCGGAATGTGGCTGGCTTGACAACGGTAATATTTTTCGGTGATTCAATGCGTATATCCGTAGGAGAGAGCGCACTGGGCGCATTCGCTACACCAACACTTACACCAATTGACTTCTCCACAAGTGGTGGTGGCCGTGGCGGTGGTGGTGGTGTTAATTGCGTTGCAGTGTTGACCGCTGCACTGCCAGGTTTTGGTGGTAAATACTTAAATACCGTTGCTGGTGTGGGCAATTCAATGGTGGTGCTATTTGTGCTGCCATCCAGTTTGTAGGCGGCTGATATCGATGGGGATTCTCGGTTATTGAGATATGATGTGGACTGACTTAGCTTTGCATAACGGCCATCGTCGTCCTGCAGCATTTTGGTTTGCGCGTATGGGTTTTTATGTGAGGCAGCGGACATGGAGTAATGGCGTGGTGCACCACTAGACATCGATTGTGACGATAGTTTTGTACGTTCGCGTGGGCCGCTTGCAACGTTCGCACCACTAACGGACGTAACGGTATGCGTCTTATTTGTTGGTAAACGAACGGCTGCAGTTGTGTTATGGAATGTTTCGTGTGCTTGTGTTACGCTGGCGCTACTTGATGTTGCCTGGCGTATAACAGGCCCGTCTAAAGAGGATTCTAACCATTGCTTTGGTTTTGGTGGTTTTGACTTTTGCGTTTCGCTGTTCAGCGATGAGATAGAGATTTCATCGAGCGGCTTGGTCAATGACTTAATAGATGCCGCTGGCAGTGCAGCAGAGGTATTGTAGTACGCATTGCTGGACAACATATCGCTGGAGTGCGACTTGCTGTCCGCAGCCATTTGGTGTGGATTATATGGTAGACCTTTGTGTGGCGGTGTTTGTGGAGAGACTGGTGGCAGTGTGCCTTGCGAACGCCAACGTAGGTTTTGTGCTGCAACGCTGTCTACATCAACGGATATGTAAGACGGCGCTAAGGAAATGGCATCCAATTGTCTGCTCGTGGTGTGTTGTGGTGGATGTATTAAAATGTGCGGCTGTAGTTGTTGTAGTGTCAAGAACTGTGCCTGTTGTTGGTATTGCGGTTGTTGTTGATACTTATGTTCGGCAGTGGCAGCGCTTGCCATCAACAAATCTTGTTGATAGAGATGTGTTTGGTGTGAATGTTGTTGCTGCAAGATTTGTGCTGTTGTCGCAACACCGTGATGCGTTGGTGACGCTTGGGGCGAAATGTACTTTTTTATATTTTGACTGGATTTAATAAAACCACCGTCGCTATAGTTGTGATGCGTTGGCGACAGATAGTAACGGTCACATTGTACCACAATCGGTTGTTGTTGCGGTGCAATATGTTGTTGCCGCAAAGTGGCAACACTTGCCGAATTTACCGAGTATAATGAAATGGCATCTGCTGGGTAGTGACGTGAATGTGATTGTGATGGCGAAATTTGTGGTTTGTACTGATGCAGTTGTTGTGATTGTTGCGCATGTTGCGCATGTTGCTGCTCTCCAACATGTGGCTGATGATGTTGCAAGTGTTGCTGTTGCTGTTGTTGCTGCTGATGATGGTGATAATGTTGGTGTTGCATCAAGGCCGCGTATTGCATTTGATTTTGCAGCATTTGTTGTTGCATCAGGTGTTGTTGTTGTTGTTGTTGTTGTAGTTGTTGCTGCTGCTGTTGTTGTTGTTGTTGTTGGCGCTGCTGAGCTTGCAAGTAATTGTAGTTGACACCCGCCTGCGCAGTAGGCATTGTGGTACCCTTTTTCCTCATAGACTGCGACTTAGCCAGCAGCATTTGTGCAGCGCCGCCGTTATTTGTATTCGCATCACCTAAACTGGAATTTCCAACAGGGTAATTGTCATACTCTGATGAGCGATTGGAAATCTCCGATTGCCGATTGCCAGCGTTATTATTTATATGATTCGCTTGATTCTCCTTACAGCTACTACCGCCGATTGTTTTCCGCCGCAGTATGGCTGTACTGCCAGCATCGCTACTTCCAATACCGCCGCCGCCATATTCCTTTTTATACTGTCGCGCCAACATCGAGAAAAGTTCATTTGCATTCAAGTATTCATAGTTACCGTTTAATATTTGAGTTTCTTGCTTCTGTATTTGTTGTAGCAGCCAACTCTTCTCACTGAGCACCCGTTCGAGTTCTTGTTTGCGTTGTTCCAGGTTTTGGCGTTTCAACTTCAGCGCTGCCTCATCCATGACTGGCTGGCTTTGGCTCGTACTATCATCGTTGTTATTATTATTACAATTACTGTTGTTGTTATTATTATTATTGCTGTTGTTGACCCGTGTACCACTCCCCCCGCTCTCTGCATTATCATCTTTAGAATTATTCCTTGTAGTGGCAGCCATATTCTGGTTTTGCGTTTCGTGTGGAAATGCACTACTTTCATAAGTTCCTGAATTGATAGACTTTAATGTGCCTACTGTTGCGGGTTTTAGGTGCATTTGTAATATTGTTGGTGACTGTATTGTTTGTGTTTTTGTGCATTCCTTCAGTTTACTGGATATGTTAATGTTTTGGGCCTTATCTTTTTAGGTATTCAAATTCCGTCAAATGCCGCATTCTGCTTCTCCTAAAAGAGAACACAAGGGGAGTGGTTCAGCAAAATCGGGTGACACTAGTTTGTTTTTGTTGTTAGTCTATATATAAATATTTATTTATTTTTTTACCACAACCGTTTCAAATTCATTCACATTTCAATAAGTAAATTATCTTGCGAATTAAAAAAAAAAAACAGTATTTATCCTTTAAAAATACTGAATCTGTGATCATGAACCCTATTACATCAAGGCTGTCAAAAATTTCAATAACATCCCTTAAAATAAAATTTTAAATAGGCAAATACACACCATTTTTAATTTTATTCACTTTTTCAAACCTAATACATATATTTTATTTAAGAAAGTAAGAATTCTTAGTTCTTGATTTTGTCTTCTGGTAAACACAAATAGTTAATGATTTCTCATCTTAGAATTCGGCAGAAGTAAAAAAAGAAAAATTAAGCAAAATTGTACCAGCCAACTATTCAAAAGCTTATATTGCCGTATTAGAATTTTAATGTCGAAGCATTTGCGGATCGCAATCATACCCAACTGATGTTTTCAAGCTACAAATAACTGTTAATACAAAATAAAGGACTTTAGATATCATTATTGAATTATTTAAAAAACAGTTCACGTTTAAAACATTCTCAAATACACATATGAATGTGTTCTAATTTTTTTCATAATAATTTCAATAACTTTGAAATAAGTAATGAAAATAACCTTAAAATGGTAACATCATCCAGACTAAAAAACAATCTGAGAATTTTAAAGACAAAAAAATGTGAAATTACTTTTAATATAGGAAGAAATATATAATTTTTTAACACTTCACTTCAGCAAAAAAGTGAAAAATAAAACTTGCATGAATTGCAAAAAAAACAGATCACAAACACACTTTTTCTTACGTAGTTAGTTTTAATTTAATATTAATAAAAAATAAACTAAAAAATAATAATCACCATATCATCAATCCAATTATTTCTTACCTTTCATAGAACAATCAATTAAGCTTCCAATATGAATCCACCAAAAATATCTTTTTTTTTGAATTGCATTGAATTTACTATAGAAATATGTGACTAAGCTTTTGGGTTCATCATCAATGCAATAACAACAATCGTTTGCTCGCAAAGAAAATCCAAGTAAGGTAAACTTAAAATAAAGATTACTTATGAAGTATTCCGCGCATAACAACAAACACAATTAGCAAAAGAAAAATGTAAATGAGCACACTGACATCATTTGGAATCTGCAAAGAAAAATACCGAAGATTATTGAGTAAACAAATTGTGATGAATTTTTCATACATATAATTTATATAATTGTAGCTAGATTATTTAAAAAATTTAGTTAAAATATATTTGAGATTTTGTACCTTCTGTCGCAACCGCTGCATCTACGCGTACCTTCGTTGCGGTAGGCATTGCATTGAAAATACGGAAATTCTAGCACTTTTATCCGCACAATCTTCACTTATTTTGTTGCAATATCATTGGTCACATGAACACTCCACTTTTATAATATTAAAGAATTAATTTCATATTTTTTCAAACAGTTTTGTTTAAAAACTTAATCAGAACACAAATTCGTATAAGAGAAGTTTGAGGAACAGAAAAATTTAAAAAGTAATGAATAAGAAGAATTACAGAAATAATGCTGCCACCTAAGAAGTTTAATGTATGCCATCTCAATTCCAAAAGTAAATTTTCGCTGGCGATTTTCATGGCATGAGATTTATTAATTGTACAATACACGTGAAAACTGTTATCTTTGAAAATAACTTTTTTTTAAAGAAGCCATTACATGCAAAATGTTAAATACATAACACATAACATTTTAGAAAGAAGCCATGAAAGATTATTTTTAAATGAAAACATATTATATATCTTTACTTCTTAATAATATAATATGATTTATTCCATTTTAATATTGTGTTTTTGTATTTGCAAAGAACTTGTTAAGTAATTGAAATTGAGACCAAGAGAATAAAGCACAAATTAGACAAAATATCCATTCAGCTTCCTTTATTTTGGTAAGATGATTGGATTGAACTCGAAAAGAAGTGTGAAACGAAACCATAGTCCATCGTGCACGAACACATCAAAGACCATGTTAGGCTTCATGAAGGGAGGCAATCCCCAAATGCCTCAAAACAAACCACGTGGCTTATGAACAATCTCGCTCTTCCGTAAATCCTAAAATTGTAGATTTTTCGAAAAGAATGTTACATGAGAGGACATTTCCACAATTTTTCGGATTTTCTTTGTGGTGTAAGCTCAGCGTTATTTGGATTTAATGCAAAGCAACCCTGAATATAAAACTTGGTTAAAAGGGATGGTGTAGAAGTTTATACCGATTAAATTATTTGCACGCGTGTAAAATCCATTTACTCGAACGGTGGGTCATTTATATTAATTTTAATGATGTAATAATGAATTAAAATGGTGTATTAAATAAAAAAGTTACACATGTCGTTGCAGGTAATAAGAGCCGTTGAGCCATTTCGGTCCGCTACATCATTATTGTGGAAATTTCGGCCAAGGCATTTGAAATCGGTGACGAGCACTTGCAATAACGTTTATACCTTCAATTTTGCCAACAAAGCAGCATATAGCATAAAGCAGGTAGCGGCTGATCCTATCGTTACTGAAACTAATTGTAAATCTGAAAACGCCACCGCCGCTTCAAAGGAATCAATTACAAATCCCAATTGGGGCTCAAAGAAAAACAAACGAAAAGTAAGGTTACACCTAACAGACATAATGAGTAATCCCGAAATCGAAGCAAAATTGGCACCCTTGCGTGCAGCAGTATTGGAACAAGGTAATTTAGTACGCGAACTGAAAGTGAAAGGTGCGCCAGAAATTGACGTTAAGCGAGCTGTGGCCGAGTTGAAAGCACGTAAAAAAGTATTAGAAGATCGTGAGCTCGAACTAACACCTAGTGTTGTTACATTCGATCGTTCAAAAATGGAAGATCTCCTTAAGCGACGTTTCTTTTACGATCAAAGTTTTGCTATTTATGGTGGTATAACCGGACAATACGATTTTGGACCAATGGGCTGTGCATTGAAATCAAACATACTCTCATTGTGGCGTCAATTTTTTGTGCTGGAAGAGCAAATGCTTGAAGTAGATTGCTCTATTTTGACACCAGAACCGGTTTTAAAGGCTTCCGGACATGTGGACCGATTTGCGGATTTGATGGTTAAGGATGTCAAAACAGGAGAGTGTTTCCGACTTGATCATTTGATTAAAAATGCATTGGAAAAATTATCGAAAGAAAAAACAGCATCGGCAGAGTTAAAAGCCGAATGTGAAGATATTGTAATAAAACTTGATGGTATGAATAAGCAAGAAATGTCTGATGTGCTGGCGAAGTACAACATTAAGTCACCGCTAACTGGTAATGATTTAACTGAACCAATTGAATTCAACTTAATGTTTGCTACACAAATTGGACCAACTGGCTTAGTAAAAGGTTTTCTTCGTCCAGAGACTGCTCAAGGTATTTTTGTCAATTTCAAAAGGTTGCTTGAATTTAACCAGGGGAAATTGCCTTTTGCTGTTGCCCAAATTGGAAATTCATTCCGAAATGAAATTTCACCGCGATCTGGCCTTATCCGTGTGCGGGAATTCACAATGGCTGAAATTGAACACTTTTGTGATCCCAATCAGAAGAATCATCCCAAGTTTGAAAGCATTGCAGATACTCGCTTGACACTTTATTCCGCCTGTAATCAAATGGATGGCAAATCAGCGCAACAAATATCTATTGGAGAAGCTGTGAGAAATAATTTGGTAGCAAATGAAACTCTTGGCTATTATATGACGAGAATTCATCAATTCCTTTTGACTATCGGTATAAAACCAGAATGTCTACGTTTTCGTCAGCATATGAACAATGAAATGGCTCACTATGCTTGTGACTGTTGGGATGCAGAATGTCTTACCAGCTACGGCTGGGTAGAATGTGTCGGCTGCGCTGATAGATCGGCCTACGATTTGGGCCAACATACACAAGCCACTGGCGTACGATTGGTGGCAGAGAAACGTTTGCCAGAACCTAAAACAGTAGAAGTGTCAGAAATCGTGCCCAATAAACAAGCTTTGGGGAAAACATTTAAAAAGGATGCTAAGACGATTACAGATGCCTTGTCAAAACTTTCAATTAATGACGTGAATGATGTTGAACAAACTTTGAAAGACAAACAAGAATTTATACTCAACCTTGAGAATGGTAGCGAATTCAAACTAACACCTGAGATTATTTCTGTCAAACACAGCACTAAGACGGTGCATGTTGAAGATATAACACCTAGTGTAATTGAACCGTCATTTGGAATTGGTCGCATTATGTATGCACTGCTGGAGCAGAACTTCCAATGTCGCGAAGGCGATGAACAAAGATGCTACTTTACGCTGCCATCAGTAGTAGCACCACTGAAATGCTCTATATTGCCATTGTCGAACAATGCCGAATTCAATCCATTTATTCGTCAATTATCCACTGCGTTAACCAAGGCCGAACTTTCCCATAAAGTGGATGATTCGAGTGGATCGATTGGTCGTCGTTATGCTCGCACAGATGAAATTGCCATTCCGTTTGGAATAACTGTTGATTTCGATACATTAAAAGAGCCACATACAGTAACCTTACGAGATCGTGATTCGCTCAAGCAAGTGAGACTTGGTATTGATGAAGTTATCGACGTAGTTAAAAACCTCTCTGTCGGAAGAGTTAAGTGGTCTCAAATACTTGAAAAATACCCCGTATTTGAACAACAAGAGGCTACAAAGTGAAATATTAACTACATTTTCAAAAAAGAATAATTTGTATAAATATTTGTAAAATTTTAGACTTTTATAATTTTGAATATTTGTTTTATTAAGTTTGGCATTTCGGGCTTAATGTGTGAATATAATATTGAATCCGCTTTGATATAGCATTTATATTATGAATATATTAATTTGCTTGTTTTTATTTAACAAAATAAAAACCACAGAAATGTGAGTATAAGCGCAACAAAATACTCTTAATAGCATTCTCAGTGTAGGAGAACCAATAAATGGAAGGTAATTTGCCATTGCAGCAGTTATAAGCTAAGTAAATATCCTTTAACTACAATACGACGTTTGCTGACTGTAGATTTTGTCACTCGCCTTTCACGCACATCTGAGTAATATGTTCAAATCCTAATACTTGTGCGGCTGACATGTACAATTTTTCCATAACCATTCAGAGGTTATTTCCACCAACTTTCACTTTATCCTCCATGTAAAGTGTTCTCTTTCTATTTTCCATGTGTTGAACTCTCGATGACGTCTTAAAAGCTAAGCTTTGAAGTATCAAAACGTATATTCCGTAATGAGTGTAAATGAATCCTTATTAAAGGGTGCACAAGATATATTTATTTTTAAAAAAGTGATAACACAACTCTGTACAGCATATGATAATTTGACAGCTGATTACGAAAGTAGAAAGAAGCCATGTGGATTGTTTTGGTGCTACCATACATAAAAAAAAAGAACTTACATTTCTGCAAAATTTATTTCCGATCGGATTTCCGCCAAGTTTCACAAACCTATTAGCAGTATTTCTAAAGCTCTGGCTTTGAATGTTACGCTTTCTTGAAGAATTCCTTTGACTATCGACAGGGCACATAATAATAATAAAGCAACTGCGGGATTTACAAATATTTATTTAAACGAGGGGTGACTTTAGGTCGATTTGGGGATGTGGTGTATAAAAGGTCTGGCAACAGTGGTTTCGTCGACTAAAATAATGTCTATCAAGCAGCACCGTTTTAGCGCAATCGTCTAATCAATTGTTTAAAGTGTGCCAGAATTCCAATTGAAACATGTGTTACATTGCAAAATTAAATTTGTAAACGACGCAGTTGTTTATTGCAAATTTCCAATTGATTGTAATTCGGTTTATGTAGTGAAACTTGTGTAAAACTTATTGGCGGAGAAAATCATTAATTTGTTAAAAGTAAAACGTTGGCAGATCTTATAACCGCACAGTTCCTGGATACAAATTAAACTTTCACAGAGATCGAGACAAGTAGATTCTATTGGAGATTTCATAAAAATACCCAATTCAATCACATTAAAACACAGGTTTTGTGACTTTCAAAAAGAAAGAATGAAATATATTTTGGTAACTGGTGGTGTTATTAGTGGCGTCGGCAAAGGTGTTATCGCATCATCTTTTGGTACTTTGCTGAAATCATGCGGTCTTAATGTAACGTCAATAAAAATAGACCCATATATCAATATAGATGCCGGAACATTTTCACCTTATGAACATGGTAAGTTAATAATTTATTTCCATTAAAATCTTAAATTTTGCCTATTAGATTAAAAAGTATTTAGAAATATTCTTATGTACTTACACGTAAAATAGTTAGCAAGTTGAAGGCTAATGCACGTCATGGCATATCCATATGTGTGTTTTGGCAATTCGACAAAATATTTTGCATATATTTGCAATTTGTTTTACTCATGTACATACCCAGTCTTAATTTAGCACAATTTGTTTTGATAAATGTGTACACAAATATACAATACATATGACATTTATACAAATGCATATCCCATGTGTATAGCTACACGTGGTGTTATTACTATGCCGGAAAGGGGAAGCTAAGCCAATAAGAGAGTTAAGTGTTAACACAAAGGTTAGCTAAACATTTTTTTTTGTTAATATTTGAAAAGTATTTATAAACATAATAAACAATAAACAAATTTAATCTACTTTTAAATTATACAAAAATTTTTAAAATATCTAAAAAAATAAATATTTCTCTGCCATTTGGCTTTGTTTATTAATATTAACGTCGGTACATATGTATGTGTACACAAACAAGTAATTCGACTAAACTTCAAACTGTCACAATTGACTGCAATAGCAAAGAATAATATACGTTCTTTGGCAATAGCTTTGATGCCAATTGGACTTACAAGGTTTTGAAAGCGCTTAAAAAAGATTTTCGTTGTTAATATGTATTTCCTTTTTTAATATAAAATATATTATTTATTTAATATATAATTTTTAAAAGCTAGTTTAATCGTTACCTGCAAGAGTAAACAAAATAAAATATTTTAAATTTAAGATTATTAATTAAAATATGTGTGTGCATGTTGATTAATATAACAAAGCGCATGTGGTACTTATGAATCATCCCTTCATTATTTGCATCCACTTCTTACAAGTGATTTCTCCCATTACAAAAAAAAAAAAGAAAATCCAGGCAGTAATTTTATAAAATAGCAGCATCCATCTGTCTTAGTAACAACCAAAAGCAAATTTAGGAAACTCACAAATATAATATTGCCTACATACATACATATGTAACATGTACATATGTATACATATGTAGAACATGAGTATAGTACTACGAGTATATCGAAAAGCGTTTCAGGGGTTGTAAAATACTTACTTGTTGCTTTTCCTTAAATCTTTCCTAGTTATTCAAGAGGTAAATTTTGTCATTAAATTATTCATATAATTGTAATATATGCATGTCAGTTGATATTTTGATTTCTAAAGAAAACATTTTAACTAATGTCTTAAAGCAAAATTGTGCATTATTTTTATAATAGAAATTAGCTAATTTTTTCTTTGTTATAAGGGAGATTTTATAAAATAAAGCCATTCTACTAATTAACAACGCTGTCTTTTTTTTTGGAAAAATGCTTTTATTTCACTTTTTAAATTAATATTTGGTTGCGAATTCTCTACTGTGAATTAAGGATGACATCTACGAGACATTAACTCTACAAAGCTTTTGTAAATGTCCTTTGTAGTACGATTCTCTTCTTCTACGAAAGAGTTATCGTATAAATCCTGAAAATTTCCATTCTTATGGGAACAAACTCTTCTTTCCAAATGTGTCCATAGATTCTCGATAGGGTTTAAGTCCGGACTGCATGGTGGCCAGCCTAATAGAGTCACCATATTATCCTGAAACCATTGCTGATAAATCCAAGTCACGGGCAAATTGTCATCGGCATATGATAATATTATTTTATCCATGATTGATATATACTTAAACTGGTCCATGCGACCATATTTTTTGTCTAACCCCTCATCATTACCTGGCACCAAGTTTTAAAGTTGACCTGGTGTACTTTGTGTGCAACTCTTTGCATCGAAACCTGCGGACATAAGAAGAGTCGTTTTTCGACCTCTCTCCTCTCTTGGAACCTTTTTTGTTGTTTTATTTTTGTTGAAATACTTATCAGCATTAAAAGCCATACGTTTGTTTAGGGCCTTTGCAACGGCTCCATACGGCTCTGTACGATAACAACCCTAGTGTCCTCACCACAAGATTCGCGCTTACCCATTTTTTTTTGCTAAATTTTTTTAAATTACTTAATAATAAATTTTATTAAAAATTTTAAGAAATATTTACCTAAACACAACTAATTTTCAAGAAATCTTAAGAAATTTAACACGCGTTGCTAATTATATGCACGACCGTTTTACTCACCTTTGCAAAAAAAACCATACTTTCATAGGTGAGAATTTAAAATAAAATTCCATTTTTACTCTTAAGATTTTTACGGAAAAGGTCATGTAATCTATTGGGACAAGTCGTTTATTACCTTGCCTGAGAAAACCAACTAGTATGCAAAGATTCTAGTTATATACTAGTATGTTGAAGATGAAATTATACCAGTTCGTTATTTGTAAAGAAGTCCATCAGTAACGGGAGAAATAAAAATTGTTGTTGTTATATCAGCAGTAATCCATTCTCTGCTCTGTTTTATTGAAGTGCGCAAAATGACATTCGGCTTGAGAGCCGAGTAGTTCGAGTCCCGCTAGAGGCAAATTAATTTTTAACTTTCATTTTGTTTGTTATTGGGTGAAACAGATTTTTTTAATATTAATTTTTTTTTTTAATTTTTGGTGAAACAAAAATTTTAATTTTTTTAAAACTTGTTTTTTAATTTTTTAAAATTTTTTTCTTAAATTAAAATTTTTTTTAAATTTTTTTTTAATAAAAAAAACTTTTTTTTATTTTTTAAAATTTTTTTCTTAAATTAAAAAATTTGTTTTTAATTTTTTTTTAACATTTATTATTATTTTTTTTAATTTTTTTATCTTTTTATTTCTAGTTTTTTTTATTTTTAATTTTTTTTTATTTTTTTATTTTTAAATTTTTTATTTTTAATTTTTTTATTTTTAATTTTTATTTTAATTTTTTATTTTTAATTTTTTTTTTAAATTGGTTTTTTTTTAATTTTTGGTGAAACAGAAACTTTCACCTCCGCGTCTTTCGTATGTTGTTTTTGTTTTTAGTTTAACGTGGCTGAGTTTCATTACCTAAAAATATCTGTTGGAGTGCGCAGATTTCGTTCCTTCATATATCATAACGATAGTCTGGTGGTTAGAGGTATTCACTGTGGTACGTGAGGGTCCCGGCTCCGATTAGCGCTGCCGGCGAACTGAATTTTATTTGATTCAGTTTTTTTTTGGTGAAATAGAAATTCAACATGCCTAAATCAACTAGTATTAAACTAGTATGAAGCTGATGCATAATAGAACAAATGTCAGCTCCTAGGACATCGCCGTGTTAAAAATACCAGTTTCTTACATGAAAAATGACTAAAGATGAACTAGTTGGTGGTAAAAATGTAAACTAGTTGAATTCTATTTGACAACTAGTGTCAGGTAGCTGCAAATATATGCATGTGTAAGTATGGCGCTGTGTGTAAAATTATCATACCTTAATAAACTGGAAAATGCCACACTCTTCAATGCGTCCACTTCCGTTCGCAATTGCAAAATAGCATCTGTATTGCCCCAACAATAATAACGCAGTCCCAACCCATTTAGATAGCAGCGAAACGACGTCAGTTTGCCGATCTGTTGCGTCCACTCTCCGCCTGACCGCAACCATGGATGATTTTGTGTGTGTGTGTGTGTATGTGTAGTGACTGTGATGCGTTGACCGAGTCT